GAGGTAAAGAAGGAGGAAAAGGGGGAGGGTGGGGAAGAAAGAGAGAGGCATTGTTCTTGAGTTTTGAGTGTTCGTGATGTATAGAATCTTAAGGGAATATTAGTTTTCATTTGAGAGCCCCCTTTTTTCTTGAACTTTTGCGGATATATGTTTCTTAGTTGCTTAGTTTGTCTGTTCCAATTTTGGTTAAATCTTTTATCAATTTAAGTAATAGTTGTAGGATACGGTATCTTTGTTTGGGTCAATGTTTTCAAAACCAGACGGGACCAGAAAAACTGGGAACCGGTCACCTGATTGATTCCGTTTCACCCCAGAACCGTCTTTTGGCAAAAAAACGTTGATTTGGTCAATGAACTGACCTGGGTGGTCGAACCGTTCAGAACAGACTATCCATTCAGTTCGAATGATCGAACCGTTTGACCCAGGAACCAGACCCCTGAACGGTTTGTTATCCGATTCAGTTTTAAACCTTGGTTTGGGTAGTGGCTTTCTTATTAGTTTGAACAACTTTTCACTCTCACTGGAATCCATCAACTTTTTCTGCATAAATTGAAATGTAATCTATGATTTCCAATTCCATATATACCATAATTTCCAAGCCAAAACTTTGTTCTCACTAGTTTCTTTCATCTCCAGCTTTAATTTGGCCAAAGTCCTTATTTTACCTGATTTCTTTAGCCTGTTCTAAATGTAGAAATGAAGTTGTGGGTTTGGAGATCACCGTTTATGTGGCCTAGGAGAGTTCATATGTTACTTTTCAGGTTTTTTAGAAACAGCGTGAAGGGACAGAGTGACGGGACAAAACAATTTTGGAGGTATAACTGAACCGGCCAGTCCAATTCAGTTTTCTAAACACTGGTTAAAAACCGTCATCCTCATTGACCTCCAAGCCTAACGTTTAACGCAAAGGCAAAGGCCAAGAGGAAAAAAGAGAAGGTACTTTTGTTAATCACTTAATGATATTGGAGCTTAATTTTTCTGGTTAACAGATCTAATAGAAAGTAGTAAACATATTAATAGATCAAAGGCTTAACCCTACAAATATGAGTTGAAGATATAAACTCTTTATCAGATCTATCTTGCCTCCAAGCCATCAAATTATTTGTCCACACATGGGATGGATTTTTACAGCCGTGATCGAATGATAACATCCCTTCCAATGTATCAATCAATAATCACCTTAATTGCAGTAAGAGCTATGTGTCGTTATTGTGCATCCTTTTTCCTGTCGGTTAAAATCGTCTTTTCATGGCATTTTATGCCATTTTGTTTTACTGGCAGGCATCAATATCCAAGTATCCAACTAACAAAAGAAGAACGAATACAATTAACTGTACGTTAATCTTTTCCAAAACGAAAGAGATTAGTTGTTTGACTCTTCTGTGACACCCAAAAAAAGGGAAAAAAAAAGGAATCAACAAAAGCTGTAGAGAAATAATGCTTACATTCCAGATTAAGCATGCACTACCAAAAGATAAATTATATATATATGTATGAACTAAAAGGAAAATATTTATAGCCTACACTTTGTACCACCATCAGCAGTTCGGGCATGGATGCGTAATGTAAGTGAATTGGTCGGCGACAGACATATACCTTCGACACGAAGTATAGGTAAGTTGAACAAAGAAACCAGACTGCACTCCCAATTCATAAAGGATTAATCACTTGGACATGCAAGACATCACCAACCACCAAAAACTATTGGTTCAGCTCGTGCTTAGTGGCTGAACTATTCTGCTGCTGCTGTGTCTGTGTTGGTTGTGGGCCTTGTGGCTGTGGTTGCTGCTGTGCTTGGTGTTGCTGTGGTTGCTGCTGCTGCTGCTGTTGCAACTGATAAATGTTCATCTGGGGAGGCTGCTGGTGCTGCAGCTGGAACATTTGAGGATTCATGGATAACTGTTGAGCCAAACAACTGGACACATCGCCACCCAACTCTTGAGTGACTAACTTCAACCGCTGAACTTCCGCAGTCAGTGCCTCATTTAAAGCTGCCATGTTCACCCAAAATAAATATAGATACTTTTTTTCTAAATGTAACCCATTCAAAATGCATTTACCCATGTTAATGAGCATACATAGAAGAACCAGAACCAATGACAAAACACCAAGCAAACAGGTAGAAATTTCCGGATGGCATTTCCACGGCTAGAACCAATATATTTAAGTTACCTACAATTTTACCATTTTCTTATATGCATGCATCTTCCACATTAATCAGTTTGGTCCTATTTCTTGATGCTGGAAAAATGAATCTAATTACATATACTAGAAAGCTACAGGACTATCAACTCGCAGTCTCGCATGACTTGCATCTAACCTATAGCAGATGGAGCCATTACCAGGCTGAAAATAAACAAGGGAAACATTTTTTAAACAATAAGGTAGAAAGTGATTTTTAAAGAAATAAAACATTTAGGAAGATTCATAATGGTGGTTATCCTGTTGAACCAGAGCTGGAGGTGTATAGCTAGATGAAATGGCTCTCTAGAACAGAAAGACAGGCCATAGACAAGTAGCAGCTCTTTCTGTCCAAGATTTCATGATTACTGCTCAGTTGTTTTAATTTTAGTATTTTACTTTTTGGTAAGACATGACTGTGCTTTCTTAAATATAGGTATTTTATTGTACTAAGAAGAGAATGATTTTCTGAGGTGGTATAGCAATTTGAGAACTGAACTAGATCTATTAACATAATTTCTCTTATACATATAGAAACAGCCAAGCAATCTTAGACATGAGAAATTAGTTTGGAGCTCAAAAGGAGTTGGACCAACTTTCTCTCCCCACCTTGTGTTTATGGAAAAAGAATTGGCACAAACCTTGTCATGTATGCAAGAAAGCCTACTTTAAGTTGTGTAACATTAGTTAAAATTATTAGTTGGGAGTTTTAGGAGTAAGTCATGTGGTGGTTTGGGGCTTGGGCGTTTTAGGAGAAGGAATATGACTCTGCTGGGGAAGTGGTTGTGGAGGTTTCCTWTGGAGAAGGAGAAGCTATGGGCTAGAATAGTGGCAAGTATTCATGGGCTGGAGCACAATGGATAGGACGCTGGAATCAGAGCTAGGATCACAAGCAATTCTCCTTGGAAAGCCATTCATGACCTGCTACCAGTTTTCATTCC